AAGGGCGCCACCCAGGCTCCAGACGTCCGCCGCCTTGCCCGAGTAGGATGCCCGCGAGCTGAGGATCTCGGGTCCCACATAGGCCGGGCACGCGTGCTTGTCCCACAGGGAGTCGTCCGGCCCGGTCAGCACGCAGGCGTCCTCCAGGTTCTCCAGCACCAGCTTTGTCCTGTGGCAGGGAGAGGGCAGCGGGTCAGCCCCTGCTGGAACCCCCACACCCCCACCCCACCCGACTCAATGGTCTCAGGTTTGATTCCGGTCAAGAACACGTGCCCAAGTTTCGGGCTCGATGCCCAGGAGGAGGCGTGCAGGAGGTAACCGATCAATGATTCTCTCTCATCATTGATGTTTCTATCTCTCCCTCTCCCTTCCTCTCTGAAATCATCTCCCTCCCTCTCTGAAATCAACTATATATATATATACAATTTTTTTTCTTTTTTTTTTTTCCTTAAGTAGAATCAGGATTTGAGCCCAGGTTTGTCTGACTCCACTGCCCTTCTCCTACCAACAGTGTTTCTCAAGCTATTTCCTTGAAAAAAGAAAGAAGCACTTTCTCACCTCTGGGAGATCTGGGGGTGTTGTACCCACCCCTAAGCTCAAACTGATGTGAAGTTGTGCATTAGCTTAAAAATTTTACATTCCACTTCTTATTAAAGGCATTTTAAAATATTAAAATGGGTTTGGGGCTCGATCCCCAGGAGGGGGCGTGCAGGAGGCAGCCGAACAAGGATTCTACATTTTATACATTTTTAGTATAAACTGTAGAAGGAACTAGAAAATCACCCTTAGACAAACATCACAGTGTAACTGCTACACTCGCTACAGAGAAGGTAGATGGCTGCTAAAATTGTGGGTGAAACTCTGAGGAGAAACACATAATTCCAAAGCGTCTCGGGGTACTTATCAATGAGGAGGTATTACTCAAGGCATTTGTGAATTACAAAGGGTAAAATGGGAACGTGGCAGACACCACCCTAACCAATGATCGATGTTAATAACCCCATCATGCACTTCCTGATATCACGCACTGAGAAGGACCTATCACTTTTTTTATCCTCACCTGAGGATATGCTTATTGATTTTACAGAGAAAGGAAGGAAGGGGGACAGGGTTGGGGGAGAGGAAGGGAGAGAGAGAAACATCAATCAGGGATCAAACCCGAAACCTAGGTATGTGCCCTGACCAAAAATCGAACTCATAACCCTTTGGTGTATGGGACGACGCTCCAGCCAACTGAACCACCCCACCAGGGCTTCTGTGGTATTCATGCCAAAGATGTAGCACCTCAACTTAACCGTGAGAAAAACGCCAGCTGAACTCTAAGGGAGGGGCATTCTACACAACGACTGACTGGTTCTCTTCAAAGGTATCCAGGTCAAGAAAGAACAGAAAAGCCTGAGGATCCGTCAGCCTGGAGGGCACGGAGGAGGCCTGACTGGCGAAGGCAGGGTGGGGCCGGAATAGAACCCGGACACAGGGCCTAGGGGACACGGGGAAACCTGTGGTTTAGTTAGTAGTACGAAGCCAAGGTTAATGTTTTGGCTTTGGTTAGTATTCTATGGTCAGGTAAGATATTAACTTCAGAGGAAATGGTGAAGAAAACATGGGACCTCTTTGAACTGTTTTTGCAACTTTTCTGAAAGTCTAAAAGTATTTGAAAATAAAGTTTTTAAAAAATCCACTGGGGTCACTGTCCTCCCAAAAATACCTTGACATGAAATCTATGTTCTAATAGGTGTGCATGTGCACCTGTGGCTTGGTGAGCTGACAGCCTGCGTACTCCCAGGATCTGGGGTGGGGACAGGGAGCCAGGTCCTCTGTCCCCCCTGCAAAAATCACTGATTTTCAGTTTTAGAGGAAAAGGTTCCTGTGTGGGAAGCTCAGGGTGCATTTTGGCTGTGGCCCTGAGCTGTGTGTGACCATGAAATCCTGGTGACATCTTGACAATCCAGCCTTTCCCCTACCAATCGGGAAACGGAGGTCCGGAGACACTGGGCCACCCAGAGACGGCCAGTCACCCAGCCAGGCCTCCCACCTCCCATGCTCAGAGGGAGCTAGGGCCCTGGCTCTGGAGTCACATCTGGGTGCAGATCCCAGCTTAGTATTTATTCAGCTGTCGGTCTTGGGCTACTGACCTCGCTGGGTCAGTTTCCTCGCCTGCCGTATGGGGACAGTAACAGTGTCCACCTCCTATTTACCAGGATCCAGGCCACGCCAGGCAGAGCGGCGATGCTCTTCATCACTGTCGCTACTATCACAAAGGCAGCGCTGCCCTGGCCGGTGTGACGCAGTGGATAGAGCATCGGCCCACAGACTGAGGAGTTCTGGTCAAGGGCCCTGGTTGGGGCGCGTGCGGGAAGCAGCCAGTCGAGGTGTTTCTCTCACATCGATGTTTCTCTCTCTCAGTCTCTCCCCCTCCACTATCTCTAAAAATGGATGGAAAAATACGCTCTGGTGAGGATTAACCACAAAGGCAGCGCTCCACTGCAAGGGGCTTCCCACAGGACTGGACCGGGCAGTGGTGCTGCCCAGGCTTCTCCACAGTCTGTGTCGGCCACTGGGCCTTCCTGAGCCTTGGTTCCCCGTTAGGGCCCACCTCCTGGGCGGCTCCTCGGTTGCCACACTCACCTCTCACAGTCGGTGAAGACAAAGCGTCGCAGCTTGAGGTCTCGCAGGACCAGACCGTGCTGGTGACAGTGCGCCACGGCGGCGGCCATCTGGCAAAAGAGCCTGGCGGCCTCGGG